TCACTTTTAAAATAGTATAAAGAATTGAACATACTAAGTCGAAGACAACCTCAACCTCATATATTTGAAATCAATGATCATGTTGAATTTGAGGTAGAAGATGTATTACATTCAAGGATAAGATATGGAAGGCTTGAATATTTGGTCCATTGATATGGATATGATATTAATGATTGCATGTAGGAACTAGCTAGCAACCTTGTAAATGCACAAATGAAGGTTCAAAGGTTCCATCAACAACATCTATCTAGACCAAAAGTAGAAAAATGAAAAATGGTAGCTTAGTAAGATGGCTTCACCATGAAGATTCTTAGTTCTTGGCCTTATAAAGAAAGAGAGGAGGCAACCTTTGAAGAGGTAGTTTTTTCAAATGTTTAAAACATTATAAGTTGATATTTTGAGTTCACGACCATAGCTTGTTTATATTCTTTTGGTCTTATCTACTTTATATGATATGGATAGTCAAGATATAGATGCACTGCCAATAATACCATCTCAACTAAATAGCTTGCAAAGACGACCCTGAGATGAAGAGCCACTTGAACCATGAAGACTTTAAAGGATACTTAATAATAGGTCACTGATAATTATGTTTGAGATAGAATCTGCCTATGAAGGACATCCAGAAGGAGTGTTTGTAGGACAATTCTATAATGAAGATACCAAAGTTCATGCTTAGTCACAAGTAGAAGGCTTGGGCTACTATTGATGGCTACAAGGACCTATGAATCATTTACCTTGTAAAAAAACAATTGGAATATGTAGTAGATACCATGCGACAGATCTTCAACTTCTTAAGTATATACTGACTTGTTACAACATTAATTCTCAAAGACCTCAAAGCTAGAAGAGGAGGTGATGTCATAGACATACAACTGAAGAAGATTCCAAAAAGTTCTAGTAGATTCTAAGAAAGTTCTAGAAGATTATAGAAGATCCTGAAAGGTTCTAGGAAGCTTTAGATGATTTAGGAAGTTGCTAAAGAAGGATCTTAGCCTTGCTTTGTTTCCAAGCTTTATAAAAATTTCTCAAGAAACTTCCTAGGACCTAATATATATAGGAGTTGAGGCTGAGGAGATCCTCAATCTCAACAATTCACTTCTTGTGGTCTAACCAGGATCTTCTTGCATTGTATCTAATTATTGTTCTAATGTCAAGCTAACTCCATTTTTTAGTCTTGAATCCTTGTCTTATATATGGTCCCTAACACCTTTCTCAAGTAAATTCAATCAAATATGTCCTTCGAACTTCTTATTCATAATATCAAAAATACTTCTTATACATCTCATAGTAATTCTAAGTTCAAGTTCAAAAATAACATATTTTATTTCAAATATTATTTCTATATTCCACAAAAAAAAACACACATATTTATGTGTTTTTTAAGCACATCACAACTTTCCAACCATATGATATTTTAGATACAACAAGACTTTGGAACTAATATCAAGAGATTTTTTATAGTTACAAATGTTGAAGGCTACAAAAGACTTTATACAATCATAAGACATTTGTTCAAGATCAAAAACTCCTCGTCATTGATCTTAAGAATTTCTTTAGCTATTACCTATTTTGGAACAACTATAGTCTTCTATTTCTATGGACTTTATTATGGATCTTTTAAGTTCAAGTTCATATGACTCTATATTTATGATTGTAGATAGCTTCGTCAAAATGGTACATTTTGTATCATGTATAAAATCTATTACATGTAAAAAAATAACTAAGTTTTTTTTTGAGAATATCTACTATTATTATAAATTTTTTAAAAGATATTATATCATATAAAGGCACATAATTTGTATCAAGATTTTAGAAATTTTTTTTTAAGATATTCAAGATAGTTATAAAATTATCTTCAATCTTTCATTATAAAATTGATAGGCAAATGAAATAGATGAATGAAGTTTTGGAGTAATATTTGAGATGTACTATCAACTATCAACAAGAAGATTGGACAACTTTTTTGCCATTGGCAAAGTTTGCATATAATAATTTGGTACATTCTTCTACTCAAAAAATGTACCAAAAGATCAATTCAATATATTTATTGAGTAGAAGAATGTAGACTTGGACCATTTCTTATTTGGCATTTCCTTATGATAGGCATCTGCATTGATCTTTTGTCATTTTTGAGCTTTTTTTAATTGTGCCTTCATTATTGCATGTAGCTTTTATAAATGATTTGCCAAAAGATTATGTACTTTTAAAAAATCAAAAGTATTAAGTCATAGATGACAACCATAATTGGCATTTGAAGTGGAAGAAGTCTTAGATTTAAGGTGACACCAAAATAAATTAGAATATCTTATTTATTGGCATGGATATGATATTAATGAATGCATATAAGAGTCAATAAAGAATCTAACAAATGTAGCAAATAATATTAAGGTTTTTTTATTGATGATATCTATGAAAACCAAAATAGAAAATAATAAGATCCATGGAAGTTGATGATTGCTCTTCATAATATTTGTTCTTAAAAAAGAAGATAATGTCATAGATACATATTTTTACTTCAATAATTATTTATATTATTAAGTAGAAATATATAAAAATAGATTAATTTCATAATATTTTAAAAAATAAATTCTTAAAAGCTTCATAGATGTTGCTTTCATTTTACATGTATTTGTAGTTAATTGATAGGCTAGAAACTTAGTCAACAAGTTAGTCACATGTGACATGTATTAGTAGCTTGTAGAACAAGCTAATTATATGGTACACATATAAATAACTTCTTTTGGAAGTTAAGACATATATCAAGAAAAATCAGCGAGAATTGAAGGTCCTATAAAATATCGCCACGTATCTCCTAATTAGAGAGTGTACATGGAAACAAGAGTGAAGCCTTCTTCACTCTTATTGATATCTTTCTAGTCCCTAGTCTTATTTTAAGACTTTCTAATCTTTTTATTTTTAGCAATATCGATTCTAATTTAATATTATATTATTTTTGAGTGATTTTCTATTCTTTTTGAGTGACACAAGAGTGTATTGATTTTTTAGTTCTCTAAGATTCAAGTCCTTGATATATATATCTTAACTTACAAGGCAAGTTTTTTATGTGCACTATATAGTTAATTTGTTCTACAAGCTATCAATACGTATAACATATGATTAACTAGTTACCAAGTTTCTAACCTATCAATCAACTACAAATACATGTAAAATCAAGACCCCATCTATATAGTTTCTTTGAAGCTTTTCTAGAAGATATTATAAAATTAATCTATTTTAATCTATTTCTATGTAATCATATAGGTAATTATTAAAATATATATATATATATATATATATATATATATATATATGATAGATGGTACTACTTTAGAACAAAAAATATATTTTTTGAGTACATTTTATTAAGTAATTATTTTATGATTCTAATGATATAAAAAATACTATATAATTAAAATAAATATGTTATAATAAATTTATTTAACATATAAGGTTGAAGTAACTTAGGTAACTAAGACATGTCTACACACATTTTTTTTATTATAATTTGATTTCTTAGATTCAAAACTAAATTCTAATGTATTTTTAAATACATTTATTTAAGCATGTTTATTTTGATGATTTGTTAAAATAATTTTTTTTATTAATAAGGTTAATTTTTTAATTTTTAAAATAAGCTCAAAATATATACATTCTTTAACTAGTGGTAATTATTATAATTTTTATAGTAGATTATATGCTAATAAATTCTAAATTTATTACTTATAAAAAAATAATCTATTATTGTCTACTAAAATATTAATATTATTGCATAAGAAAAATCATACTTTATTAGTCTATTTCACTATCATATTTAATATATTGATTCCTAATATCAAAGCTTTTGGTACAAAACCTCTTGAAAGGTTATCCATCAACATACCAAAGATTATGGAGTTTCTTCATTAAAAAAATCTCAATAATAATCCTTCATGGCTTGTGGATCTTAGCCAGAACATTTTCCATTTCTTTTGTTGATTTATATTTGCATATGTGTGTCATCTACAAGGATTTAACAATAAGAGCAATTAATACATGTGCTTTATTCAACTTCCATTTCTTTTGCTTTATTCAACTCCCATTTATTTTCTTATTCATACTTCTAAGATATTATGATGTTTTATTCATATGCATATTAAACTTACATACATTTGTCAAATATTTCATGACAAATGTCCATGTAGCATAGCTCCTCTCATATAATCAATCAATACAATTGTTGGTCAAAGATAATATTATTATTAATTTAATTAATTGAGCAATAGTAAGCCACAAGATTGTTTAACAACAAGTTTTGTAGTAGCAACAATAGATCAATCAATAACAACAAATGTTATATCAAAAGCAATTGCAAAGAAATGTAAGACCAAGCTATGATGAAATATGAATTGCAATAGCAGTTACTTCTTCAACACTAAGAACATCAATTGATAGCAATAGCAACAACAATAGCACCAATTTATAGTAGTAGCAAGAAATCTGCAATCAGCACTAGACACACTCAACAACAAAGCTCCATAGTTGTTGTCCTAAAACAAGCATAGCTCTCATATAATGTTACAAAATGGTAACTCATGCATTTGTCCAACTAGCAAATCTCATCTATTACTATTACAAATGTGCCAAAAATATTAGTATCACAAATGCACGGAAAAGAAAGAATGCTCCTACTTTGAAGTTTGATCATAGTCTGGAGAAGTCCCAACTTACTGTACACTCTTTAGGGTATTATTCAACACAAAACCATCCACTCTGGCGGAGAAACAGTCATTAGATGTGTGGCTGCACGGGGCCCACCAGTGCGTCTTTGGTAGCACTGCAGAAGTGCAAAGAACAACCTTCAGATGGTCAAAAAACTCTAAATCCACACCTGAAAGTCAAAAAGGATGGATCCACCGTGAATTCACCCTTCCAGGTGTTACCGAGTGATGTTAAAGGTGGTAATTTTTGTCACTTCAAGGACGCAGCCGTCGTGTGAGCTTTGTCTTGTGTCTTCGCACAAGACATGCCGAATGGAAGTTCGCACAGCTGAGTCTTTCTAGGAGGCAAGTTCTTCGGTGTAGTCCCTAAGTTGTATGTGTAAATTCGCTAAAATACCAGTCTCATGCGCGAGCCATTGGTGACGCACGCTGGAGGTTTGGAGAATCACCACCTTTCAGTCAAGAACGCACATGCTGCAATTGGCAGAGGTCTCTCTGCACAGCGTGTGCGTCAACTTGAACTGGAAGGGGCTCCAAGTGTGCAGCCTGGAACGGCAAGCTGGGTGGAATGCAGTGCAGTCCCCACACAACGATTTCCAAGAAGCCCCACTTGTGTGATTAAGATGCAAGGTCGATACAACTGAACAGGTTTATAGTGATGGGGCTTTTGGTTGAAGAGTGTCTTGTCGCTAGATTCACATATTTGTGAATGTTTATGATCACGAAAGCCACTGTGTGTAGTAGGGGTGACCATTTGTCCGTTATATTGTCACTTCGTATCTTTTTGGGTGCTTGTCTGAATTCGCTATTACACATTAGGTGACCATCAACCTTATACAGACCAATTTTTGTACGTTTTGCTTTCGAAGGTGTGGATTTCTTCGGATTTGAGGTTTGATTTAATCCCATTTGGCCGTCCATGTTAGCCACTTTTATATCCCGCAGACTCCTCGAATCCATTTTATTTCATGGTAGACTTTCGAAGTTCTTCAAACATGAAGAAATCTCCAAACGAATCGCAACTAATTAGTTTGTTATCTACGTCTTGTGAACAGGACGTGTTTGTGAGGTCGCACTTCTGGATCACCAGGGTACGCAAGTGTTATTCTACCCTGGTTATTCTACAACAAACCGTTCGTTTCGTGACTCGAGCTCATGATTTACATGTTGTAGGAGTTCGATGTACCGCCATAACCACGTTTAGGAGATTCTTTTGCTTTTATGCTCTGCTTCATTTTATAGTTTTCCTCTAAAAGGTGCCAACAAATCACTTCTGTAGGTGACGCGACCGTGAAGCAACACAGGATTTATTTTGAGAGTGATTGTAATCCTTTACTCATCGCACTATCAGGAGCAGCTTCGTAACCAATACACCAAGAGTTCGATCACGGATCTCGTGCCTCGATATCAAATATTGTAGACTTAAAATGACAGGCTGATTAGTAATGTGGATCCTCAGTCAATCTGATACTCGAACACTTGAAAAAACTCAACCTTACTGTGAAAGAAGGATTAATTGCTTGTAAAGGCTTTTGGTGAGATGATTATAATATTGTGTCCAACACTCGCATCAGGTTTGAACTTTCCTAGCCCATGGTGCATTATGCCAATTGTTTACAAAACTCAATAACACTTCTTAAAGAAGTGGAACAAGATACATGATACCTTAAATCTCAAATCATGGAATCCCAGGAACGAACCTTGGTGACGATGGGAGGCTCCAGAGTGAAGCTTCTAATCTGGCCTGGTCGTGAGCATGCGTGCGATTGCACAGCGTGAACCCAAAAAACTCCATTGTCACTTAATCCGCAACTTGGGAGTGGCATCACTCGACTGCGAGTTAACGGACTTGCAGTGAAAACTTAAGCTTCTGTTGGAATTCTTCAATTTGTTGTTTCTCTTGTGCATATTCTGTCTCGCTTTGTTCAAGTTGTGGAAGAAAAGTAATTCATCTTACCGAATACAAAATAATTGAATTTAAAAAGAAAGTTCTGGTATTTCCGCAAAACAAAAAAAATAAAAAAAAAACAAAACAAAACAAAACAAAACAAGAAGGTGATTGTGTCAATAGTCCAAACATAAGCACAAACAACAAACGAACATATTAAAATTTTGGTTTTCAAGAGAGAAGACATCAAGGAAGCTAGAGATATTTGAGGCCAAATAAAACAATTTTACAAAATCCATAATTTAAAATAGAGCTACGTTCTTCAAAGAAACTAGTATAATGGCATCCTTTTTGTCTATTTTTTTATTTACTTACGCAGAATAAAAATTGGAAGGGTGCATGTCCTTAGGCATGTCTTGTGTTTGAACCTGGAGAGTGATGAGCATTCATGTTTTGTTAAAAAGATAAATAAAACAACACACTTTATTATCCATCTATCTATTTATTGTGCCACATGAACACGATGAAAAGAAGCTTGAAATATAGACAGATTGTGGAGGCTGCGAATTAAAGTGCTGACTCAGTCAAAAACTGATCTGCTGCTGCTGAGGTGGCAATGCTCCAAGTCGTAACTTTCATGCACATTGGGTTCCCTTCGATTCCTAATATTTCCCTTCTTCTTCATATTTTTCTTTTCCTCTCTCTGCTTCTTTTGCTTTCAAACATTCTTTTACCTTCCTATATCCTTATCAGCTTACACTCCTTTCCTTTTCTCATTACCCTTCTGCAATGTTCATCGAATTTTCGGACGTCATAAATCAGGATGCAGATGCCTTCCGTTGCTCTGAGAAACCTTTCAAAGAGAACAAAACCCTCCCGAAAGCAAACTTCTCAAAGTAGTATTATACTTGCTTTTTATTTGTAATTGTTGTTTTTTCTACTTCGATCTGCATTTGTACCGTTACGCATGGAGCTGAGGGAGGGGAAAAATTTATGACACACAACGTGCCCACATCCTCGGCAAACCACTTTGTGGACCAGATTCTATCTCTGTTTGGATCTACTGCTGCGCACAATCAATCACACGAAAAACGAATCTGAATTTTGTCCAAAAAAACACACAAAGGGCTCTGAAGCGATTTCGAGGGACAGCTATCAATTTTTTAGCATCCGCATTCATCCTGTATCTCGTTGATTATACAACTATCCCGTGAAACATTCGACACCCAATTTTGCAAACTGCAGTTTTAACATTCTACCTATAATACATTCCACTAAGTGTGCGTTCGTGTGCGTGTATGTTTGTTTATATACATACACTATATACAGACGTACATACATCGAATAATGCTGGGAAACGGACAACCTGGTTGGGTGGAGGTGTTGCAGTGCTGATGTGTTTCCAGCATCATGCTCCAGACTGACAGACTCACTGACTTACTGACAGAGTGTGAGTGAGAGGAAGAAGTTATCGATGGCCCCACCGCCACTTGGTGAAAGCCAGAGAGATAGAAGCCACACCGTATGATAGAGACAGACAGAAAAAGAGGAGGATCCATCTCACAAATCTACCTGTCGGGTTTCGTTGTTGTATCCCTCCACCACTAATGTCGGAATATTTAAAACCGTCAACTTAAGGTTTTTCAGCTATCTCGGGGGGAGGGGGATTTTTTGTTTTGGGTGAAGAAACAAGGTTCTGATGTTCTGTAGAAGAAAAAAAATGAATCGCAGCAGTGGATGAATTGATAAAAATGTTCAAAGCATTTTTTGCATTTTACCCCTGAACTCAGTCGTTGACTTGAGCATAACCGTCCGTAAAAACAGGTTAAACCACCACCCTCCATCACACAAAACCACCGCCTTTGTCGCTTTAATATTTGCAGATCATTGGTGGGCTTGGAATCCATTCAGAATCTTTCTACATTCTTCAAAGCGGTTTTAGGTTTGTACAAGCGCGGTTACTGACGAGTTGGTTCAAGGGCCTGACACAGTTTAAGGTAATCCGACATTACTATGACACGCGTTTCAACCCCCCACACACACTTTTACTTCATTGGAAAGGATGATGGGCAAAGTCCTCTTTGCTTCCCACCGCATCCTGACTTGAAAGTCTTTCTTCTGACGACTTCTGTGCTGAGAATAGAGGAGGAGATATCAATCATGAATGAAAAAAAAACAATAAACAATAAACAAACAAAACAATATATATATATATATATATATATATATATAATGTGTGTGTGTGTGTGTGTGTTAGTAATTGGTGGTTACAGGTTAGCTAGCAGTTTGAAATGTAAGACTTGGAATGTGAATGGGGGGTGGAAGTTTCTTAAGAAAACCTCCAGCAAGGGGGTGAAAGTGCTCCTTCCTACTGAGCCCCTGTGATTGGAATATCTTTCTCCTTGGTAGACGGCACTTAGAATCTAAGCATTTTCTGGATCGGTTTTGTCTGAAAGTACAATGTGCAGTTGGGTTGGGCTCCCTCTTTTGCTTGGGATTTTTGTCCAACACGAGATGAAAAGAAGTCAATATCAGGGGGGGGGGGGGTTCTGAGTGAGTAACATGTTGTGTGTACGTCTCACCAGCTGGTGCATGGCTGGAGTGCCCAGGTGGATCTCTAAATGAACCCACATTTTGAAAGGGGGAAAAAAAAGCTTCTAGATTCAAACCTGTCAACGGGGAAAAAGGTTGTTATGAGATTACTACAAAAAAATATATTTTATTTTATGGATGGGTTGAAAGGCTGAGTATTTGTACCACCTCATTTCTTTTTTATGCCACCCTGCTGTGGTCATGTTTGCTTGTAGTCATGGAGAGAGTGATACTCCCAACACCTTGAATCTGGTTATTGTGTTTGTTACATTCCAGGTAGTGTTAAGAAAGCTTTCATGGATTTTCAGGGTTGTTGTTGTTGTTGTTGTTGTTTTACTTTTTTCCTTTTGCATGCAAAGGAATCATCTACAGGTAGTGCACACTTCAATGCAAAGATATGAATCCAAGTCAAATATTAAAATTGAAAAAATAAAACACAAATCTCTGTACACACATGCCAAAATATGGAAAAGTATTTTACCTTGTTTAATGAATTAATTTCCATTTCTGTTGTTGAGTAAAGAAGAAGGCCTATATATATATATATATATAAATACATACTTTTCAAAGTTAAATTCAAAAAAGAAAAAAAAAACATGTGTTTTTCAGTTGATTTGATTTGAAAAATATAAATAAATGAATAAGAGCATACTTATAGATATATTTTTTTCATGTCTTATTTTATTTTATTTTTCCTGTACACCAAACAACAGCATATCAAACAAAAAAAAACAAAATAGAAAAAGAAAAAGAAAACAAAAGAAAAAACTAACATGCAAAGACATTTGAAGAAAACACAAGCGTCCATAATGTCTGCCAAACTAGAACTGTACAACACTGTCATGACAACAGGTCTACATGCAAAGCATGTGGGTGAAAGACATGACCACATCACATGCCACAGAGGAAGACGAAAAAAATAAAATAAAAAACGAAAATGAAGATACGAAAGGGCTGTAAAAAAAACTCATGCACATCTCTCTCTTTCTCGGTCTGTGGAAAATAAGAAAAATAAAATAAAAGAAAGAATACAATAACCAAGGAACGTCAGCTTAACACAGTTCCACCAGTGGATCAATGAATGGGCCACGTCCCTGTCCCTGTCACGAATCAAGCAACGTCACAAAAGAAAGGCCCTAAAGATGCAAGAGAACAAAAAAGTAAAAGACAGTAAAAATAGAAAGCAAAAGGAAAAAAGAAAGCGAGGAGTCGAAGCTTGGAGTGGCGGCGAGGAGGAGGAGGTCGCCGCGTGAAGAACGCGCGGGTGGGGACGCGGGAAAGGCACTCGCGGCAGCGCTGGGGCACATACAATACTGCCTATTTGTTGACGACGTAGTCGCGGCCACGCGATCAATGAATCATCCATCCCATTGAATGGCTGCCTGGCTGGGTGGATTGGGTGGGCTGGCTCCACAGATCCAGCCAGCACTGATGGACTGGCATTCCCCGCTGGCCCCGCATTCGTGAGGCTTAGAGCCGGAGAGACGGAATGTGGGAGAAGAATCTGTGAGCACGGCCATAGCCACCATAGCCACAGCCAAACCCCACAGCCTAAGGGGGGCTGGCTAACTAAAAGGAGCGGGGTCCAGGTTACTTCATCCCATCCCCAGGTTGGCTGTTGTTCCCAATCTGTCGCAAGTGGTGAGCCAGCGAGGGTGCGAGCGACGCTGCGGGGTTCGGTGGTGGGTGGGCTGCGTCCCATGCGCTTGCCTGCTCTCTTCATTGCCTCGCATTTGCAGTTGTTGACGTTGTTGCTTTTGTCGTTAACGTCACTGGGTGGCAACAGTATCAACGAGTTGGTGGGGGTGCTCATCCTGTTTCGGCGTCCTTCTTCTTTTTCTTCTCTTTGTTCCAAGATTTGCGTTGTGGATCGCAGGTGGGACCCACGGGCGAGGCGAGTTGTGGAGAAGGAGACGGGCAGGCTGGCTTCGTCTGGTCTTTGTGGTCTCCCCCGCGTCTCTGCCTTCCTCCAGGTTCCTGGTTGCGTTGTGGGAGCCTGAGCGGAAGCAGATGTGGAGGAGCCCATAGAAGTGGAGCGCGGTTGGAAGTTGTCTGAGTGGGGTTGTTGTTTCGAGAAGGTGAGGCCCGTGTAAAGAAAGGGCTCGCTGTGAATCTTGTGCGAGGTGGGTTTTGCTGGACGTTGGATGCAACGGCATCGCTTATGAATCTATCGTTAGCGTTGGGTCTGGAGACGAGCCAGAGCGGTTTGTGAGGTGTGGGAGATTTGTGGAGATTTGCGGGGGAAGAGGGAGAGGGAGTGCAGAGAGGTCGACCGTATCAGCGGGAGGTGAGGAGGGAGAGGGCAGGACGTAAGCGGGGAGGATGACGGTGGCGGAGCCCGACCCCGTTATGGAGAATGAGGAGGGGTTTGAGGTGCCCTACCATGTGGCAATCACAACCTACTTTTCGTACGGCATTCTTTTCATCATCGGAACCTTGCGCGACTTCTATCGGAACATAATGAGATCAGGAAAGAAGGTTGCGAAGGTATTTCTTTGCCAGCCCTGGGACATCGCTCTGTGAGCACTGTAGAAGTACCTTGAAATTCAGCGAATTGGCTGCTTCTTCGGGATTTGTTTGCAGTGTTATCATCGAGATCTCTTTTAGAATATGTTCTGCTCTTTGTTTCTCTTCTTTTTCGACGGCGGAAAGAGGGAGTAAGTTTGGTTAACTTATAAAAAGTGCCATAAAATTTCGTCTCTGAAGACAACGGTATTCATGTCTAGTGAGCGTTGCATCTGTTGAAATTAGAATGATGTCGAGTGTACGGATCTGAAGTTGCCTCGGGAATATCAGTGGGTTTCATTTCACTTGATCTGGTGTAGGTTGCCTTGTCCTATCACTGTAGCATTTGCGGGCCACTATCCTTGCTAAACCCATCTTGATTTAACATATGCAACAAGCATGCGTGGTGTTGATCTCTACTTGGCTGGTGGTCAGCATTGATGTTGTCGAGACATTGATGACACCAGTATATTTTGGATGCACAACTTATGCAATGTGATCTTTCTTACATCCATCACGATGTGTTAACAGTCATTCGACCTACATGTTTTGTCCCTGATCAAGTTGTGTCGATACCATGCACCAGGGTTATGCACCACTCTGCCGGGATTTTGAGGATTTCTACACGCGTAGGCTTTACAACCGCATTCAGGTTGGCACCGTGTCTACATTCTCTGCGAGTCTGTGACGGTCCGCCAATTTATTGTTGCAAATTTAAATTGAAATCGAAAGAGTACTACTGGCTTTTAAATTGACATATTTCATTACTGTTACCAGGACTGTTTCAATCGACCAATTGCCAGTGCACCTACCAATTGGGTTGACGTTATCGAGCGTGTATCCTATGACAGCAACAAAACACTGCAGTATGCTAATTTTCTGATTTCCCATTTAAATATTTGAAATTCTCCTTCCTTCCTCCTTCACATGTGAATTAGGTCGATATCTATGTTCAATTAGCTGGCCGCCGTGGTCGTTGGTTTCACATCATAGCAATAATTATTATAGTTGATGGGTTGTGCTTAATTTTATTTTAAGTGTCCTTTATTTTTGTATTGCAGCCAAACAGAGAACGTAAGACGGTGCTTGAATCTGGGGTCATACAATTATCTAGGTTTTGCGTCTCACGACGAGTACTGCACACCCCGTGTCCTCGAATCATTGAACAAGTATGGTGCTAGCGCTTGCTCAGCTCGTGTGGATGGTGGTAGGTATCCCCCTCCTTTTATTTATTTATTTATTTATTTTTTATTTTTTTAATTCTTTTAGGTGTAGGATTACGTGCTGTGAATGTCATATCCATTTGTGTTCTCGTTGACTATTCGTGAACGCTTTCTGTCGACATTTTTCAAAAAATTTGTACAGCAGCGTAATGCTCATCACTTCCCGGTTTTAAATTTCTGCAGGCACAACTCTTCTCCACAATGAGCTTGAGGAGTTGGTTGCAAAGTACGTTGGAAAGCCTGCAGCTATGGTGTATGGGATGGGATATGCAACCAACTCAACTACCCTACCTGCCCTCATCGGCAAGGTTGGTCTGAATCCGCTTTTCATACATGAGCTCCGGCAATGAAATCGGGAGTGTCATTGTAATCACCTGTTTGAATTCGGAAATCGCGCACCTACTGGTGATTTGAGAATAGTATGTGCCGAGTGAAGTGCCAGGTTTTATGTTTCCGTGATAGTAAAACATTTCTCATTCAAGAGGGAGAATACTGAGATCTGAAGCATACTCTAGGTCTTAGCAACTTTAAGTTCGTTTTTATGTTCATCTCCGTTTCAATCCCTTAGATACGCCCAATTGATAGTATTTGTCACGTTCGGGTTCAAAGTTCCGAGATGCCCTCCTCCTTCCACTTCTCCTTTTTTTTTTAAGATTAAATAGTAAATCAAGCCTTTCACCTTCTCGCGAAGTCTTTGATCGTCAGAACTTACAATAACGTGTTCTTGAAATCTACAGGGCGGTCTCATAATTAGTGACGCTCTGAACCATTCCTCCATCGTAAATGGCTCACGTGGCTCTGGTGCAAAAATCAAGGTCTTCCAGCATAATAGTACGTTAACTTACTCTTAGATGTATCGTTTTTAATTTAATGTGAATCTTGTCGCTTGTGTTCTTGATTCCTTTGAAGCAGGTTCTTATATTCTGTAACCAGTTTTGCATATCTTGATTTATCTTTGTGTTTGTGTCACAGCGTTTTGTTCTCGTTTTCGATGTATTAACACCTCCCCGTAGCTTTGTGTATTACTGACACTGGGACTGTAGAACTAAATGTGCTTTTTTCCTTGAACAGCTCCATCACATTTAGAGCAAGTGCTTCGAGAAGCAATTTCCCAAGGACAGGCCCGAACACATAGGCCATGGAAGAAAATTATTGTCGTTATTGAAGGTATTTACAGTATGGAAGGCGAGTTGTGTCGGCTTAAGGACATTGTGGAAGTAGCGAAGAAATACAAGGTACCACTATGATGCTTCCAGTTGGCGTGTTTCTTGTGTCCCAGCACGGTCATCGTGTCAACTTTCTTTGCCCCGTGGAATGTTCATTTCTTCTATTCAAGGAAAATGCTGAGCATTGTAATCATTTGCACCAGTATCCTGATTCGCGGATCAGATTCGAAAACTGTTCAAGTATATCATTTCAGGATTTTCAACTTCCGAACTTTCATTAGTGTTATCAACCCTGTGACGTGTGGTATTGTTTTGGGTCTGGTTGCACTCGCTAAGGGCCTTCGATACTTGTGCAGGCTTACATATATCTCGATGAAGCACACAGCATTGGAGCAATTGGGAAAACCGGAAAGGGCATATGTGAGCTGCAGGGTGTAGACCCGGCTAATATTGATGTGATGATGGGCACTTTCACTAAGTCGTTCGGGTCTTGTGGCGGGTATATTGCAGGGTCTAAGGTATGTTAATTTTCAGGTTTGTCTGAAGAACGCCGCATCATTCGTTGTAATTTTTGTTATGTATTCTGTGTTCGTTATACTCAGAGGAGCTATCTTCGGCTTTTGTAAAGAAAAATCCTTTCCCCCTTCTTTGATAAGAATCGCATACTCTCTGGGGGTTATTTACGGCTTCTATGATGTGTACATTCTTCTTAGGCTTTTCTTAATAATGTTGCAACGGTTGTGCAGGAGTTAATACAATACATGAAGAGTGCTAGTCCTGCTCACATGTACGCAACCTCAATGTCAACACCAGCTGTGCAGCAGGTTATTTCTGCTCTTGAAGTCATCCTCGGGTTGGATGGAAGCGATCGCGGTAAGTGCAATCTAATATACTGATCTTCTGATTTTGAAATTTTCTAATGCTAACGTAAATTGAAGTTTATGTCGTGATGTGACTAGATGTTTTTCTTTTCTTGCGTCCGAGGATTCTAAACTTTTGGCAGACTGTTGATATTTCTGTGGTAGAGATTTCAGTTTGAAAGACAAAATGGTCGGTTTGGGAGTTCGCTTATGGTGGTTGTCTTTCTTTAGGTGCAAAAAAACTTGCTCAGGTACGGGAGAACAGCAATTACGTGCGAATTGAGCTTCGTAATAGGGGTTTTGAAGTCTTGGGTGACATGGATTCACCTGTCATGCCTGTCATGCTTTACAACCCTGGAAAGATTCCAGCCTTCTCTCGGGAATGCCTCAAGCGCAACGTAAGAATTACTCGAATCCTACCACATTCCCATCAGCTTTGGTCAATTTCGATTTAACTTGTATTCTTGATGTAATATTCCTTTTTAAGGAGTCCAAAGTCTTTGCTTGCGTGTATTGGAGACGTGTGTCCAAGAGTTATATCATACCTTGTGCACATCAGTTTGGACGTCTGCGAGCTTCTGGATTAAGCTTAGTTGGCACTGATACAGCGTTACTTTTCAATGAGTGCAGGTGGCAGTTGTTGTGGTTGCTTTTCCAGCAACACCTTTGCTGCTGGCCAGAACACGAGTTTGCATGTCTGCTTCTCACACACGAGAGGATCTTGACCAAGCAGTAAAGGTAACGAATATCTCCTCTTTATTTCTTTACTTCTAAGAATAATTAATACTGTGATTACGGCAATGTATGTGATGATTCAGAAGCTTGACTTGGAGGTCTAAGAGTAGATATTCTCATTATCATTATCAGGTCCTTTCTGAGGTGGGTGAGATGTGTAATATCAAGTACTTCCCCCGCAAAGCATCAGAGAACGAAAAGTATTTCTGGTTCGATCAGAAGAAGCTGGAGTAAGCACATCCTGAGCATTGAAGTCCGTACTGCCATGTCATTCCTACAGGTGGAATGTAGGTCTTTGTCTACCCCTAAACTTTTTCAACCATTTTTTTGAGTTGCTGGACCTAGACTTTTGGGAGTGCAGCAAGTCGCAGAGGCTGTCTCGCTGGATTTGAGGCGAATGTTCTCAAGTTTTGATGTACAACAAATTGATGTATCATGGCAAAATATGCCAGCCGTCTCGTGCATGCAACCCGGGACGGTATCTTTCAGGTGCAGCTCTCCTTAGAAATAGGAAATATTCTCTCTGCCTGGACCTGGATTGTCGGACTCTCCAGCCGCATTGGGTGGTGTCTTACCATGTTCTTGAACGAACCGGCCTCTCCTGGACCCTCTACTGTCAATTTAGTGGAAAATGGTATGAAAATGAGAGTCGTTTAGTGTTCTTCAAATGTGGGACCTGCTGGTTCTTTAAGATGAAATCATGGATTCATGCAGTTTAGTCATATCTGCATAGTGTTATAAAGTCATAATATCTCGGATTTGTTTCAGGACTCTATGATGGCAACCAGCAGCGGAGATGGGTTAGCCAGCATTAGCATCTGGTGGTTATCTGAAGGGGTCTTGACAATGTTTAGTCAGGGTTTTGTTATAATTATGGAATTTTCTCCAAGATTTGTAAATATTAGAGAAGATAACAGAGCTTCAGTTGGCACCAGTTATCTGTTCTTATCATGACATCAATCTGTTCTTACAATATCTCATCATTGTATTTATTTTGACAATTTGTAATATTTAGTTTCTCATTGAATCTAGTAACTAAAAATTAGACAAAGCGTAATGAAATGTATAAAAGTGGATAATCAGCAAAAGAAAAGGAGTAGAAGATCAAACTATCTGAACTGCGATAGTATACTTAACAAAGACGATCAATTTTATTTCCAAACCTGTACTATTTCAAATTAATGATTCCAACATCTTCAAAACGTTTCGAAGATGAAAACTGTAAGATGTTGGAATCAAATGTTGGAAGTCAAGATCTTCAAAACGTCAGATCGATGGATCTACACATTACAATTGTTCAATTGAAAATAATAAATGTATTTCTTATGTGATTGATAAAACACTTGGAATTAAAAGTACATCTTGATGATTTAGTATGTGACAATTAGTGAAATGATAGAAACGAACTCCAGATATTATTAAGTATAGGAAGAGTATAGTAAAATAAATTAGATAAATATTTAGAGAAATATAATACAGTTAGTGAATTTATAAGAAATAATAAAAATTACACTCCAAAAACAATACTGTGCACAAAACCTTATCATAAAATTACAAATTATTATAGTAGTGTGTGTTTAAAAAAAATAAGTTGAATAAAGCATAACTAAATTCAACAATAGGAAATTGTCAAATCTACCAACAAAGTTGTAAATAATATCTTGTAAAAGATAGTAGCATAAAAACAATGGATTAGAAACCAACATTTCTACACCATATTGTTTGTCCTCCAATTACTATTTGAGATTTTCACAAACCTGATTTAGATTGTATATAATTTTAATTATTGTGAATTAAAAATCTAATTTCAACATCCAAGTCAATAAGTTAAGAAAACACTCTCCAATTCATTCTTGCAACCAATATAACCAACTTTACTTAATTTGATAAAACTTGATTCTAAACACATCAACAATCTTTTATAGTCTTAATAGAACAAAGAAATATAAATGATAATTAAATAAAAAGCTTCTCCTAAATTCTAGAAAGTTGAGACTTAAGATATCCAAAAATAAATAAATAAAAAAAATTCCATAAAAAATTCTTAGAGCAAGAAATATGGTTTCTACAAGATATAATATGTTTTGTCAAACAAAATGTATTAAATGCCTTCAAATATTTTGATCCAAATCTAAATATTGTTAATATTGAAACAACCAAATGTATTGTTAGTGAACACAATCTAATTGCAACAAATTTTAGATAACACGTTCTACCTATAGAATATCAATTAATTTAAGATAATTAATAATAAAGACATTTTATTCTACAAAAAGCATTGTATCTACATCTTAAATATCAAACATTTTTATTTTTGGGAGTTATTATTAGTCACATTGATACTATTTTGTTTTCTAATGGCTATAATCTAGAAATAAGGATAGAATTTCTTTCAAGATGATTGTATCAAATCCATACATCTATACGTTATTGAATTGTAATAAAGATTGAGATTTTTATGTTAATAAATTTAGTATAAAATTTATAAGAAAATTTAGGACCAAAAAAGTTTTCATGAAATTGAATAATATTTGTTATGTTAGAAATTTATCTTTTAATAAAATTATACAATTTATTTTATAATAGACTAATTTATACAATCAACAAAATTCTAGATCACAAATTGAAGAAAAGCACATTATTCTATGTCTTTTAATTCAAGAAGAAAAAATACATTTATTATTGAAAGATATAATTTTATTTTTTTGTATATTAACTCTACAATAAGGAAGAAATCTTTTTGTCTTGATTAAATAAATATGATATATTCTTTTTTATTTTATAAAAAGATTTTTAAACTTTAAAAGCATAATGTCAAATTTGTGTACATGACAAGGATATAAATCTCAAAGAAAGAAAATCCTCAATACACTCTTGTGTCTTTAAAAAGAACTAAAAAGTCACTTAAAAATGATATAATATTGAACTATAATAGCTATTGCCAAAAACAAGAAGACTAGAAAGTCTTAAAATAAGATTAAGGACTAAAAAGGCATTGAGAAGAGTGAAGAAGGCTTCTTTCTTGTCTCTATATATGCTCTTAACTAAGAGCTATGTGGCGATATCCTATAATACCTCTAAAACATGTTGACTTTGCAAGACATATATCTTAATTGGCAAGGCAAGTTTTCTATATGTGTGCCACATAGTTAGCTTGTTTTCCAAGCTACCAACACATGATTAACTTATTGATGAAGTTTCTAACCTATCAATCTTAGATAATTGCCTAAGCCTTTTTTAGAAGGTTCCATTGTAGATATCTTCTAGATAACCGTCCAAAGTTTTTTTTAGAATGTTTTATAGTGGATTCTACATAGTCTACTAATCTAACTCTAATTCTAAAAACTTCCATAACTTCTCAAGCATGGTTCCAACTCTCTATCCATATGTGTCAATAATACAAATATCTTATCTAATCTCTGTTTCAAAAAAATTCTACGTGGAGCAATTATCATGTATTGATGAAATTGAAGACAAGACAAATTGTATTTGCCACATACTTTGATCTTTGTTTTCTTCAAAAATAGTTGACAAGTCCTCTCAACCATTGATAGTGTTCCATACCAAGGCAAAAAGACCACTCTCTTATTTGATTGTTATTGACGCCTTTGTAACCTCTTTCAAATAAAACATTTGAAATATCGACAATAGTTGTTTCTACCTCTAATAAAATCACCAAACATCAAGAGTCTCTTCCAAGGTTATGATACCAAGCACATTGTATCTTGCCATCAATTCAAGAAAGGATATATCATTTTTGAGGATCTTCATCTTAATTACATTATCTTAAAGGTTGTGACAATCACAATGTCTTATGTGGTAAGTCGACAAATAAAAGCTCTTGAGTTGAATCTGCTGGTTCTTGATTCTCCATCTCTATAACATCACAAATACAAAGAAGCTACAAAGAAGGATAGAAGATAGAGTATTATATTCCTTTGATTTACTTTCTTTTATAGCAAAGATTTGCTATTTTTCATCTTAATTTTGATGGATGTCGTTGATAAAAAGCTTTAACTCTCTTTGCTACATTTGTAAGATTTTTTGATGGCTCCCATGTGCATTCATTAATATCATATCCAAGCCAATGAACAAGATATTTCAACCTATTTTGGCACTGTCTTGAATCTAAGACTTCTTCTATCTCAAACTTTTGATTATTATCCACTTCTATCAGAGGAGGTGGCATTTGTCTTCTTTTTAAGATGTTTATTGTCTTATATGGCTAAAGAAGAGACATGTGAAATATGGAATGGATCTTCATAGACTTCTATATATATAATTGATAAGCAACAAGATTGACTTGTTTACTAATAGAAAAAGATTCAAACCTATGATAATCCAACTTGTCACAAGGACATGTAGTCTTGATATTGCAACAAAATAACCATATCTTGTCACCTATGTTGAATTGTGGTTTTTCCTTGTAATCGGCAGATATATATATATATTTTTTTCATTCTTAAGCTTCCTTTAATTGCGCCTTCATTGTTGCATGTAGCTTTGATAAATAATTTGCCAAATCTTCTATTATAAGATTAACAACTTTTGAAAAGTCAAGTATCAAGTCATTGATGATAACTATAATTAAGAAAGAAAGATATTTGTTGAATGGAAGAATATATCAAATTATTGTATATAAACTCTATCAATGGTAAAAGAATTGTCTAATCATCTTAATGATAGTTGATGGTATACTTCAAGTGTTGCTCTAGAATTTTATTTATATATTCTCTTTATCTATCAGTTTGAAGATGAAAAGTGAAAGAGAGCTTTATATCCACCTTTAGAATCTTCAAAAGAATTATCTAAAATCTTGATATAAATTAAATTTTCTTTTCTGATATAATATTTTTAGGCAATCCATGATAGCAATAGATATTATTAAGAAAAAAATTATCCATTTTTCTACTTGTGATAGATTTTTTATATGATAAAAAATGTGCCATCTTGATAAAATGATATACTACTATGAATATAGAAACATACAAACCAGAGATTGAAAAATCTATGATAAAATCTATAGAAACGGAAGACCATGGTTGTTTTAGAATAGGTAATTGTCACGGACATACTCATGTAAGCTAATAAATACATATACAAATAGGTGGAAGTAAGTAAAAGTAGATAAAAGTAAGTTAATTCTATAGTATTTAATATGGAAGCTTTTTAGAAGCTTCACAGATGCTGCTTTGACTTCATAGGTGTCTTTAATTGACTTTTTGGATTAAAAACGTGGTTAACAAGTTGGCTATGTGCCACACATGTTGTTAGCTTGAAGATCAAACTAATTATGTGGCCCACACGTAGAAAAACTTATCTTATAAGTCAAGGCATGTGTCCTACAAAGTCAACACATATTGGAGGTCCTATAGAATGTCGCCATGTAGCCCTTAGTTAGATAGTATATATAGAGACAAGAATAAAGCCTTCTTCACTCTTGTCAAGTCCTTTCTTGCTTCCAGTCTAATTTCAAGGATCTCTAGTTTTCTTGTCTTTTGACAATAGCCATTCCAGTTTTTCTTTCAATATACATACTTGTTTATTTATATTTTGTTACCTTTCTTTGAGTGAAGGCTCATTTGTCTGAATTACTTTTTCATCAAGTTCTTGTCCTTGACAGATTGACAAGAGTACACCTATAATATCAGAGCTTTGTCTAATCTTGATTAAGAATGGATTACTCTTTTTTCTTGATAAGATATAAGTATATTAGAAGTTACAGATTACCCTCTTCTAAACTGATATTGTCTTTAGTATTTTCTTTGTTCTCAAGTCCTCTCTTCTATTTATCTTGAGCGATATTAGACATCTTCTCTTTTCTAAGTGTTATCATGGCAGAACTTGTTGAAATGAAGAGTGCAATGGCACAAATGCAAGAGCAACTGAGGGAGTTAATGCTTGCCATACATCAACTCAATTTACCACCACAAGGAGCAACAAGATTGGCAAGA